GAGTTGCATACCCTGAGGATCGTCACCAAGTAAGGCGATATCATCACCACAATCTAAGTCGGTCGCGCGCTCACCCGGTAGAAGATCTAGGCCAAAATGTTGGAAACCTTCTAGGGCATTCGACAGAACGTCTTCGATTGCGAAGTTGAAGAGGAATGGGGACATAGGGCAGCCCTGTCGCACATCGCTATTGACAGCGAATTGCGAGGAAAGCTTGCCATGGACCCTCACTCTGCCGGATGTATGAAGGTAAAGAGCTAGTAAGATGGCGGTATATTTCTCTGGCACCCCATTCTTTAGTAAGCAACGCCATAAAGCAGGTCGATCAACGGAGTCAAAGGCGGCACGTATGTCTAGGAATGCAACGATAGTGGGCCTGTGATAAATGTGGCGATGTTCAAGGAGTTGGCGGAGCGTGAAGATTTGATCCACGCATCCGCGGCCAGGACGGAAACCAGCTTGTTCTTCACGGTAGTATGATTCACGTACTGGGGATAGTCTACGAAGTAGAATGGATGCCAACAGCTTAGAGGCAACCGAAATAAGACTAATCCCGCGATGATTTGCACATGAAGTGCGAGCGCCTTTCTTGAAAATTGGGACAATAACTGATTCGCCCCAAGAGGAAGGCACTTTCTCTTCATGCCAAATTTTTGCGAACAGCGCGGTTAGCTGGTTAATGACTGCCACACCGCCATACTTGAATACTTCCGGAGGAAGTCCGTCTAAGCCGGCAGCCTTGAAGCGCTTCAAGCGTCGAATCTCGAGGCAGACTTCCGCTTCGCTGGGTGGATTCAATGGGACGAGCCAGGGTGGACAGCAAGGTGTACTGCATGTACTGATGGATGGTGGAGGCCAGTTGAACTGCGAGTGAAAGTGCTCGGCCCAGCAGTCCATACGCCTCTGTTGGTTGGTGATCGGAGACTCATCCACCTCACAAATGACTTCACTGACACCAGGCTTCCTGAGGCCAGTGGACCGTATGAGTTGGAAAAGCCTGCGAGTGTTACCAGAGAGGGCAGCAGTCTCCATCTCTAAAGCACGCTCAGACCACCATGTCTCGCGATCCTTGCGTAGGCTTTGCTTAAGCAGCCGGTTGGTAGAACGGCGCCGCTAGTTGCAATCTGGTTCCGCGGAGATATCTTTGCGGCGTTCAAAGAGCTCAAGAGAACGAGCAGAGATCCAAGACTTCAAAGGGCGTCGAGTTAGACCGCAGCATGACTGTCCGGAAATGGTCAGCGCTTTCCGAATACAAGTCCAGTGTTGTTCCACTTCTCGCGGTGGATTGCAACTGAGTGCATATGCCAGTGAAGACTGATAGCTCTCCTGGACAGAGGAATCAGTTAATCTGTTTACATCAATCTTGCGGTGCTTCGTGTTTCGGGATCCTCCAAAACACATAACGATTTTCGCGCAGACCAGAGCATGATCTGAATCAACGAAAGTAGACCAAAAGGACCTGCAGTTCAGTACGCTGCCGCGCCATCTGAAGCTAATCGCAATGTGATCAATTTGAGACCAAGGTTGTGTTGGCGAAGGGGGACGCCACGTTGCGGAACGATTCTTCGTACGCCTGAAGCTAGTGCTCGAAAGAAACAGACGGTTATCCTCGCACAATGTGAGAAGTCTCTCTCCGTTATCAGAGCGGTTCTCATCGAGCGCGTGATGACCACCAAGGTGGCATTCGTATGGTAACAGGCGGTCAACCCATGCATTAAAGTCCCCAGCAAGGATAACGACATCCGACTTTTTAGCATTAGTCAAGAGCTGTTGTAGCAGAGCCTTCGAATTTGAAGAAAGCTGGAAGAAGATCATCTGGTCCTGCGGCTTTGTTCAACTTCAACAGTCCGATCTCACGTTCGACTTCTGAACGAGAGGGTGGATCCAAAGGGACAAACCACGGAGCAGGGCGATCACTGGCCGGCGAAGAATTGAACAATTCCGGCCGATTAAATTGCGTTTCAAAATGCGCAGCCAAACGCTTGAAACGTCTTAACAAATCGTGTATAGGCTGTCCACTCTCATCACAAATGGTTTCACTAACACCAGGTCTCCTGCTGCCCGTTTCCCGTATAAGACGGAATAACTTTCGATGGTTACCGTGGGCAGCGGTCACTTCCATCTCTGATGCACGATGAGACCACCAAGATTCGCGGTCTCTCTTCAGGCTAGCACGAAGTTTTGCCAGGAGCCCTTTGCGAGTTTCATTATGTTCGCTCCCAGCCGGAATATGCCGGAGAGCATCTATAAGTTCCAGAGACGGCGAAGAGACCCAATGTCCATGTTGGCTATTAGACTTACCACATGAGGATTTGCCTGCTGCTAGTAAGGTCTGGCAAACATGTGACCAGTGACCATCAATTGTCTCCAATGAGCGCTTACTCAACTCGCATGTCAGTGTATTTTGATAGGCATTCAGAACAGCTGGCTTCGCCAGTTGGCTGGTGTCAATGCGCTCATAGCGACGTCGTGGGAGTCCGCCAAAACGCATCCGCATGTCAGCACATACAAGTGCATGGTCAGTGTCCACACGTGCTCCAAATCGAGCGACAGTTCTGGATGCAGCTTCTCCAGTGGTAACGGATTGCAATTTGATCGATTTGCGTCCAAGGATGGTGGGCGCCAGGTCACCCTCCGGCGGGTGCTGTGTCGGAAATTAGTGCTCGCAAGAAATAAGCAGGCATCTTCACATAAATGAAGTAACCACTCACCGTTATCATTAAGAAAGCCTACACCGTGCTGGCCGCCCAGATGTAGTTCATCAATAGATAACTTTCCAACTTGTGCGTTCAGAGCCCCCGTCAGGATAACAGTGTCCGTGCTTCCTCCGTGGCGAAGGAGCTGGGTCAGTTAACGGTAGAAGTCGTTTTTTAGCGAATCATCGCTACAGTTTGTGGGCGCGTAGGCAACGATGATGTATAAACACCTGTTAGTCCTGCGCGACTTCGAAGCTTTGAACGAGCCAGCCAATCGGACCGTACACAATCGGTTCCTCAATGGAATCCAATCAACCAGAGCAACTTCAGCCCGGGGACTCAGGGCAATGCCAACATCAGCTTGGCCAGTGCTCGAAGCTGCATCGTCACCGGATAGGCGCAATGAGAAAATACTGCTGGTGCCACCTGAAGGGGATCGCAGAGTGAGCACAGAGCTCGAGTCGTGCAGGCGGGTCTCTGATAAGCAGCAGGTATCGATCGAGAGGTTCCTCTAATGTTCTGACAAATGCTGCCTGTTGATTGATCTGTAGCAATGTGCGTACATTGAGGCATGCCAATTTGAAGGGGGATCGAGGGCTTCAAATGGAAGCCGATGAACTGGAGTGGACAGCTTGGTTAGACATGGGGTTGTCAACAGGACAGGAGTGACGCTCCGCGTTCATATGTGAGTTGAAACTAGAAGATAAACGCCTAGCAAAATATGTTTGGGGAGGACCAAGAATCGGGGGGGTTGAAAACTGGGGGGATAAAAGTGAAATTGGAACGGGAGCATAAGGGAGAAAAAGCGTAAGAGGGAGAATAAGAAGACGGGAAACTTTGAGCAGTAGTAACTAAACCCCTATCCACCCTGCTCGATGCAGCAGATGGGGCACCGTTGATTATCCTCTGCGGTGGCCAGAGCATCAGAAATTTGTTTGAAGAGAGATTCATTGTATTGCGTGGACAGGATACTGTCACGTTACCCAGGCCTAGACAGGAGAACGATTAGGATTCTCAGCAAAAGCCTTTGGTTCAAACTTTACCGCAAGGCAGCGAGTTTGGCGTTGGGCTACAATGAGTCCGTTTTAAGGAATAAAGTGCCACTCTCATTCCAACCCCCAACCTGGAGGCTGAGTTTGTCTGGCCTCTAACCATACCATCTGGTATGAGTGGCTCTGAAGATGCAAAAGCAGCACCCAGCATAGCTTAATGGATCACTGAGGCACACAAACCATTGTACCACGGTAAGGTCCAGCTTCATTGTGATGGTCTCACCCGGGTAGCGAAGAATACGCTGGATTCACCGCATCTTGGATCAAGCAGTAGGCCATACATATCCACGGTCGTCTCATTCGGGACTCGTCGGCCCGTAGCCTAGTGGTAACGAGCTTGTCTCGTAATTTTGCGGCGCGGGTTCGAGCCTGCGTAGGGACAGGGCGACCCACGCAGTATCCTTAGCCCGCGTGCGACCGGTGTTGGTTGCGTGGCAGCGAAGCGTCGGTACTGCGTACTGCTGATGCCTTTCTTTCGGCATCCCCCCGGATAGATGAGGAGCTAGAGTCAGTGATTGAGAAAGCCGTGCAGCGTCGTTTGGTTGAGACTATGGTTGTGATGATTTCAATTAGTGCCACGTAATACCTGTAACCACTCTTTTGAAATGAGAATCTGTATATCGTTCGGAGTTGCGACAAATTTGGCGCCTACTTTGAACTGACCAAAAGAATGTCCACAATGGGGTCAGCGGGTCTTCAGATCGGAACGTATTAGTGCTGCATGGATGGAATGCAGTTCATAAACCGCGACCTTAAGACGCAAACCAGAACCATTGCAACATTGGCTCTATATGCAAACACATCATACTGCACGGTCGGTGTTGGCCGGAAAGCCATTCAGATAAATTAAACTTAGGTCACCATCGAGTGCACAGCTGCTGGCGTGAAAATGGTTTTGTCGATGCATATGCACACGAGATACAATGTGTGATGGCTGAAAATAGGTCGCAGCGAATCGCAACCTTATGGAAAGTGAATTGCGGTGACACTGACTGAGGGGGGGGGGAGTATGCACAGATGCTGGAACAATGGGGCGAACTCTGAAGTGGAAAACGAGAAGAAAGAATTAAATGGAAAAGCATGCATGCAAAAAGTACAAAGCACAAAACGCGGAATTGGTCCGTGTCGAACATTAAAACCTAAAAGCAAACAGGAAGCATGCCGAACAGAACAGATTCGTTTCCGAGAATGGGTAACAAGTGACACATTCCGGCGTGCGGCATGCAGCAACAGTGAGTAGGATAAAACTCACCTCTTTAAACGACGAAGAGATTTGACAGAAACTCTGAATAAGCAGCGTGATTGAAAAAAGGGAGCACATAGTTACAAGTGAAGCGGAACCAAGGAAGACGATGGATCTCAGAGTGCGTGAGGAAGATGAGGATAGCCAGTTCACGTAACTGAAAGATGAGGTTCACGAAGCGGAAGCAAAGCCCAAAGTAAGGTGCGCCAATACGGAAGTGTTCAGTGAGATGCTGACCTTTTGGTTATCAGTGAGAATCGAGAAATGGTGGAGGCAACGACGTTTTTGCTGAACAATGCCTACCGCCATGGCCACCGGACGCAAGTACAGGATTTCTGAGGTTCAGAGGTAACAGAATCCAGACGCAAGTGTATTCGTAGTGCAGTGCAGCATCGAAAATGAACTAGCTCTTACTGGTGTCAAAATAGTTAGCAATTAAGAAATACTCAAGGAAAAGGGGCAACAGCTGAGTGCAGCAATGAAGAGGAATCAAAAAAGCGTACCTGACTGAACAAAGAAATCGGAAAGGTTCTGGTTTCCGGATGTAAGTGGGAAATAGCTAAAGATAGAACAAGTTCAAAAACATAGACTAATGGACAGAACCTCATGGATATATATATATATATATATATATATATATATATATATATCATAGAAATCCAGCCTGGTACTAAAGGGAAGCAATATTTTTACATCTGTCTTCGCCACCGTGAAGGTGCAGGCGGTGTCCTATTCCAAGTTTCTGAGCATAGCTTAGCTGAGACGATACGTAATGAGATGTAAACTATGCATAGTGATAAGAAGAAAGAAAGAAAGGCATCGGCAGTACGCCAACAAGCAGTACCGAGCTTTTGCTGCCGCGCAACCTCCAATAATCGCACGTAGGTTAAGGATATTGCGAAGGTCATCCGGTCCCTACACAGACTTGAGCCCGCGCCCTCGGATTAAAAGGCAGGCCTGTGATCTTTAAGGTTAAGTTGAATTATGAGACTTGATACGGTGAGTCCAGCAAGAACGATAAAGTACGCAGCTGAACACTCTAATCCCTCGTCCACTGTTGATAGGAGGCTGCGATAAACCCTACGTAAAACGCATCTCCTCACATATTCCACATATCTCGACATGATGGTAATATTCATTAAGTGAAAAAGTGTAAATGTCATAGTTATATCTAGTAAAACTGCACCTGACGCATGGCGGACCGAAACTGTAATGGACCTTGGTTACATAGGAATCACAAGAACACACTGATGATCATGCATGTCCGATCAACATGATTGTGGTTGTTTTTAATTAAGGTAGTTTAATGTAAGTTGGACGTTTGCAGATAAATTGTTAGAATATTTCGTCAATACCAGACAAGGGTCGAACACGTGTGGGTACCATAAGGATGGGGGAAAATCAGGGGTTATACTAATGGCTACCGGAGATTTAGGCGGTTACGTTTCACCAAACTACTCGGTGTGTTTAGAGATAGTTCATCACGGTCAACTCTCAGTCAGCAGGCTTTGGCTAGTCTGGAAAAGCACCAGACACCGGTGTTTCGACCTTCTGGGTCTCGTCAGTGGTGCGCCTTCCAACTGGCCCCTGCCGGGTTCCGCCCCATGAGTTTCGGATGCCAGCAGCTATTGACACTTCGCCATGGGTGACAGACGCGGAACTGCGTGATATAGCCCGGCTCATCTCCCGCTACCATGCCAATTACGAATTGTGCAGAGGTGTGTGATAAGGGAAAAGACGCGAGAACAAAGCAATAGGCCTAGTAGGGAAAGCATACACGAGATAAAGGACTATGGTGGAAGAGTAAATAAGTGCGCTTAGGGCGAAATGTTGGTTTGGTATATAAGACGTAAGTCAGTGCGATGTGGACAAAGCCAACTCACATTCTCAAATACAGGAGTGTTAACCATACCGCAAGGAGGGGTAGCGATCGCATAGCGGAGCGTGCAATCAAGTTTTGCATTGCGCCCCAGATCAAAAAGTAAGGTTCCAACCAAATCTGTCAGAAAGCTGCGAAAAGACTGGATGCGAAATTGAGCGAAGTAGTGATAGTTTTCTCATGGACACAAAGTAAGGGGTGGGTTGGTGAGACAGAATGACATTTGTAGAAGACGTCAAGAGGAACAAGAATCGACGTAAGACGAACGAAAAGGGAGCCTGAGTCAAACGCGTGATGGGACATGTAAAGGAGCTTTTGAGCGCCTCATCACTGACCACCAAAGGGCATACTTCGTAAAATCCGAGGTGCAATAGAAACACATCCGGCAAGTGGCCGATGGTTCGAAATGGGTTTTGACACAAGATGCGCACTGGAAGGTTATCAGTACCGCGCAAGCTTGTTCGAAACAAGCGTTGAAGACAAAGGTAATTGTTTGAAATGAAGTCGGCCACAAGTGAGAGAAGAGCAGATATAATGCTTCATGAATCGGTGGTAAGTGTTTCGGGACCGCAGATGCTAGGTAACCGGTGAACAACTAGATGAGACGATGAAACTTAACGAGGTGAGGCGAAGTGAAGTCATCTAAAATAGTTTACGAAACATGGTGGGTTAAATTTTGGAACCTGATCCACCACTCATCTCCTTCAGCATAAGGGCATCAATCCCATTTCCAGTTTAAGGAATTAACCGTATAAAGACCGGGGCGAGAAAGTAGGACTGTACATTCTGTCCAATTGTCGGATTCGAGTCAACTTCGCCATGTCGATGAATTTCACATACTGAGGCTGTTAAGAACACTTTGCATCACACGCGCACACCGATGCAGGCATTCGGTTCCGGCTCAGAATAGAGCTCCCTATCCAATATGCATCTAAAGGAGAGTGGTAAATGTGTGGAACAGTCTAGCAGAACATGTAGTGCAGACCAAATCTGCGCATTAGTTCAAAACATCACTGGGTCTATATTTTCCAGTAATCGGCTCAGCGAACAATTGCTCAATGACAGTGGCACTTCCCATTTGTAAGCTGTACTACTGTGAGCCTGACAATTATACGATATCACTTGAGAATCTGAAAACGATTATAGTTTCGACGGAGGACAGACAGCTTTCCCTTTAACGTCCCTGATCATGCTTCGATGGGGTTGTGGAGTAAAATTTCCACTTGCCCCAAATTTACAGTTTCCAATATTCCGTTCAAAGTCGAAAAACTATGTTCACAGTCCCGATGTCAATCCGAAGGAAAAGAGTCAGGAGTTGGGGGACAGCAGAAAACGAAAAAATAAATGAATCCACTCACTCGTAAATCTCATTGGAGGCGTGCTCATGATGACCGGGGGCACAGACATGATACACAGTGAAATGTCTGGTAAGGACACGCATTTGTGGGTGATTGAAGAAACCGAGAAAGGAAGTGTCTGGTGATGAAAACAAGGAAAACCAGTTGATGAAATCTCTGATGGAGTGCATATTTCAGTTATACTGATGCGGAAATGACGTGCCGCAAAATAAGAATACACTTACGATTAGTGCCAATATCGTGGTAGGTCAGTAAAGCACGTTTGCTTTTTGAACGTAGCACATACACACGCTGATGAATACCCAACGACGTTAAAACCGAATGTTCCTGAAAGAAGCAAGAGGAAGAAGGTATGAGACATGTAGCAGTGGAATATCAGAGAGCAAATGAGAACAACAGTTCGATTATGTCACCTTTACGCTATAAAAAGACAAATTCTTGGGTCACACAGCGTTGTAAAAGAAGACAACAGAAATTTGAGCGTAGCAACCATAATGAATAGAAACGGACAATGAGATGGAGCAATTTGGTCCTAATTGCCTAACACGGGACGGTAAGCGCACAGTTACAGCTTAGATCAGCTAGTAACTTAGATTAATGCCCCAGGTAGCGATGGTATGCAGTTCGCATGAAGCGAATGGGCGAAGAAAGTAAAATGGGCTTTTCAGCTGAAACGACAACTTGCAAAAAGCAAACCGCATCCGCCTTGCTTTGGCAGGTGAATACTTGGTAAGATGGTGTGAACGTAGAAAATCGTGTTGAACGTCGCCATGCTCGATCTGGACCCTAGATATGCAGAAAGCTTTTCATCTAAAGAGTACAACTCCCGCGCCAAGATGAGGACAACCGGATTAAAATGTTATCAGGGTACAAACAAAAGATGGTCAGTAGCTACAGAGAATACAAACAGTCAAGACGCAGAGTGAAAGGAAAATGCGTTAAAGTGATTACCTCCAATTGCTGCAAACTATGATTCAAAAGGGAAGTGGCGTCAGCATCTTCAACGAGAAAAGGTGCATCGCTTCGCGTTAAGTGTGAAGAGGAACGGAGTCCCCGTTGGGTAAGGTCACCGCCTTGGAAACTGACTAGGGGAAAATCCATATCGACGACTTATGTGCGACTTCTGAAATAAAGGGGATGAGGGCAATGAGGTGTCTGTCAATATAAGCAAGAAACGAAGAAGAGGCAAGGAGCGTGGCATGTGTATATCTTGAATATACAAGTGGTGAAACGAAGGCAGTGGAAGAGCACAAATGAATATGAATACAGCTGTTGAAACATGTGTAAGCGAACAACGGAGATTGCCGTTACCATTCTGCAGTGCAAAGTTACTGACGATTAAAGGTCGAAACGGTGCAACTTACAAAATTACTGGACGCAAGATACTGTACACTAAGCGATGCCCAATGGCAAATGACACTTACAGTAAGCAGGACGGCTCGCTTGCCGAACAACCTCGTGGCGCCAGCTGGGTGGTTCGGCATTATCCCGTTCTAGTCAACTATTTGATGGCAGCGTTTCCAGTACGTAGTGAGTTTCCGTCTGGTAAGCGTTCACCCTACAAATAGCCATCCACTTCTGTTTAACAACACTGCGACGTGGCGGATGTGATCCTCCACAAACTAAAGTCACTGCCATTTGTTTCCCACTATCGCGACGAGACCGAACCTTAACGTGATTTACGTGCCCCAGCGATCCAATGGGCTATGCTGGGTAGTGCTTTTGCACCTTCGGAGCCACTCACACCAGATAAGTCACTGGTTAGGTGCTGACAAACTTAGTTTCCCGGTTTTCCAGATTGGAGTGGGAGTTGCTCATCCTCCCATAAAACGGACTTAGTATAGCCCAGTGGCGAAACCCCCGCTGCATTGTAGTCAAAATTTGAACCAATGATTATGAAGGGTATCAAAGTCAGCGGAAGCTCTGCGACAGTGCAAAAAAGGAATAAGCACCAGTATTTCGAAAAGCATCTCGTAATAGCCGCGAATACCGCCCCAAAGAGAATCTTTGCTTACGTGAAGCGACGCCTGAAGTCGGCAGGTGATGTGCCAGTGCTGGATGGCCCGGATGGACAGCCCCTAACCTCCAACACTGAGCGTGCGTTCGAGTTGGCGGCGCACTTCACTTTTTTATTTGCAAATGATCAGGTGCCTGTTCCGAGTTCGACGTGTACCGCTTTTACGTACTCGACAGTCTGGACTGCGGCGTTGAAGAGGTATGTATACTACACGCCAACCTTGACGACACCAAACCTGCCGGACCTGATGGATTTCATGTACGGGTTCTCAAGTCACTTTTGACCATCATCTCTCCTGTCGTGACTAACTTTTCAACAGGTCGCTATCAGAAGGTTCGTTGCCGAATGACTGGAAACGTTCGGTGGTGAAGTCTATTCCAAAAGGCGGCGACACTAGCAAAGTAGACAACTACATGCCAATTTGTCTGACATCTAATTTGACAAATATTGCGGAGAAAATCGTGAAGAAGGGATTGCTACAGTTGTTACAGTCAAAAAAGGTCCTGACGCCTGCACAGCACGGTTTTATGCAAGGCCGCTCATGCATTACATATATATGGTTGGCGGCATCCGGTTTCGGATTTGCCTGTCACTGTGGCCAGCCACAGGACGCCTGCGCCTACAGAGGGACCATGGGTGGCTTGCGTTACACCACCCACAGCTCCAACCACACACCCCATATCCAGTGTAAACCCGAAGGAATAAGACCGGGAGGCATGTGGATGGGAGCCAAGTTCCATCAACCGAGCCGACCCACACTCCTTCACAGGCAAACACAAGCACACTGTATTTGGGGAATCAACCGCACACAAGACGGTGGTTGGACCGTAGTCCGCTCCACACTGAGTGCATGGAACCACTCTTTGATCCTAACACGGCCACAAGGACCGTGCACCTCGTCCCCTCCAGCAACGACCAACTGTCTCCTAGAGCCAGTATGGACGAGGTAGTGGGTAATAGACAGGTAGGCACCTTGTCAACATTCACATCAAGTGCAGCCACGCCGGGGTTATCAAGCAACAGCCAATCACTTGAGAGAAAGCTAAAAAAGAAATCGAGTAGTGAATAAGAAAACGGTGATATAAACCTTAAATTAATGAGCTTATGAAATAAGTCGTTTACAAAGGATCCGAGATAAGTTCAGGGAGTCAAAAAGTATTTCTTACGGGAATGATACAAACCCGAAAATGTTATCGAAATTAACTACAACTGGCTTAAGCGAGTTGTGCAGGTTTATAGAAGAGCGTACAGGTAGAGATTTATTTGAGAAAGAAAAGCATCAGGACAAAATTGAAAACCCACCACCTGAAATAAAGAGACATAGCATGCATGCACGCGACTAGTAAATCGAATACAGCGTACCTACAAACGCTGCGCCGGGTCTACCTACCTTCTCTGCACGACACGTCGCCGCTTCGGTAAAGGTCCCGAGTGGCCCCGCTCATGGCTCACTAAGCCTGCCTGAGTAAGCCACTCCCGAGCGCATGTGCTACAGCCCCATGCGCTCAATGTCAATGGAGTACAACCCATCGGTGCTTGCCGCTTCCGCACTTCCCGCTCATCTCTGCATGAATGACATCTTTCTCCCGCACTTCGGAAACTACCATCGTGATCAGACGGCGCCATGCATGCCGATCATATATATATATATATATATATATATATATATATATATATATATATATATATATATATATATATATGGTTGGCGGCATCCGGTTTCGGATTTGCCTGTCACTGTGGCAAGCCACAGGAAGCCTGTGCCTACAGAGGGACCATGGATGGCTTGCGCTGCACCACCCACAGCTCCAACCACATACCCCATATCCAGTGTAAACCCGAAGGAATAAGACCGGGAGGCATGTGGATGGGAGCCAAGTTCCATCAACCGAGCCGACCCACACTCCTTCACAGACAAACACAAGCACACTGTATTTGGGGAATCAACCGCACACAAGACGGTGGTTGGACCGTAGTCCGCTCCACACTGAGTGCATGGAACCACTCTTTGATCCTAACACGGCCACAAGGACCGTGCACCCTGCCTCCTCTAGCAACGACCAACTGTCTCCTGGAGCCAGTATGGACGACGTAGTGGGTAATAGACAGGTAGGCACCTTGTCAACATGCACATCAAGCGGATCCACACCGGGGATATCAAGCAACAGCCAAACACTTGGAAGAGAGAAAGAAAAAGAGAAACACTCGATTAATGCATAAGGAAACGGTGATACAAACCTTAATTTAATGAGCATATGTAATAAGTTGATTACAAACAAATCCTAGCTAAGTGCACGAGGTCAGGAAGTATAGTTCACGGAATGCCACGAACGCAAAAATGTTATGGAAATCGAATACAATTGGCTTAGGCGATGTGTGCAAGTTAATGAAATAGAGTACAGGGAGATATTTATATGAGAAAGAAAAGCATTAAGGTAAAAACTGTAAACCCACCACCTGAAATAAGGAGACTTAGCATGCAAGCACGCGGTTAGTAAATCGAATTCAGCGTGCCTACAAACGCTGCGCCGGCTCGCCGTAATTCTCTGCAATACCCGTCGTCGCTTCTGTAGTCGCCCCAAAGGGCCTAGCTCATGGCCCGCTAGACATTTATATGAGAAAGAAAGGCATTAGGAGAGAACCGAAAACCCACCACCTGAAATAAAGAGACTTAGCATGCAAGCACGCGATTAGTAAATCGAATTCAGCATGCTTACAAACGCTGCGCCGGTGCTGTCTACGTTCACTGCGGGACCCGTCGTCGCTTCTGCAGTGGTCCCGAGTGACCTCTCACATGGCGCACCAGGCCTGCCTGACTAAGGCACTCGCGACCGCATGTTCTACAGCACCATGCGCTCGATGTCGATGGAGTACAACCCATCAGTGCTTGCCGTTTCCGCACTTGCCGCTTCTTCTCTGCATGCATGAGGGCTTTCTCCCGCACTTCAGCAACTGCCTTCGTGATTAGATCGCGCCATGCACCACGATCAACCGCCTTCGATTCCCATGACCTGCAATCAAGATTAGGACGTGTGAGGCTCACTTTAATCATGTCCTGGTAACGTAACTTTGGTTTCCCCACGTGCCGCTTCCCAATACTCAGCTGACCGTATAAGAGTTGTTTCGGTATCCGCGTCGACTCCATACGGCTCACATGACCGAGCCATCTCAGGTGTCGCAGTAAAAGTATGCCGTCCACTGCATACATCCCACTTCGGCGCAACACTTCCGTGTCTGCAACTCTGGCGCCCCAGCCGATCCGCAAAATTCGTCGCAGACACTGCTGATGGGACCGCTCGAGATATCGCACATCCCGACGGTACATCGTCCACGTTTCACTGCCGTATAGAAGAACGGACAGTACCATGGATTTGTACACCATCAGCTTCGTGCTAATGGTAAGCTGGTGGTTGTTCCACACTCGGTACTCAAGCTTCCCGAATGCCGCTGCTGCCTTCGACACGCGAATACGCAACTCAACGTGTAGCTGCTGATCAGTCGATATCACACTTCCAAGGTAGCAAAAGCGGGAGGTGGTTTCCAATACTTCAGCACCAATGCTGATTTGCGGCAATATTGAGGATTGCACCTCCGGTGAAGGCTGAAAGAGACAGACAGTTTTGCTTGTGTTGACTGTGAGCCCGAATTTGGCCGCTGTCGAAGCCAGAGCACTAGTCATGTGCTGCAACTCATCCGCGCTGTGTGCAAACAATGCACAGTCGTCAGCAAACAGCAACATACGGATAGTTGTCTTACCGACTAGAGTTCTCGCACCGAAACGACGGATGTTCAGCAACCCACCATCAATATGGTGCTCCATACGAACACCATAAGCACAAGCCGCATCAAAAGCACAAGACAACATTGCATGAAGATAGGTATTAAACAGGACAGGAGCTAAGACACAACCTTGCTTCACACCAGAGACAACTGCAATGTCATCCGAGGTCTCTCCACTCAGCTGCACCCTCGCTCGCATACCACTGTGCAGACATTCAATTAAACTTACAAACTTACGCGGGCAACCAAACTTACCCAACACCAGTCACAACGCCTCGCGGTTCACTGTATCAAATGCGTTGGTGAAATCGACAAATAGCGAG